GAGAGAGAGAGAGAAGCAGAACGACGATTACGAGCCGCGCATACCGTGGCACGTCCACTCGTCGACGATCAGCCGAGATAGAGAGCATCGACTCCGCGCCGCGCGGCTAGGTGCAACAAGGACGCAGAAACGGTGACGATGGCTTGGTGTGGGCGCGTGTCTGGCAGCTGCCGCTTACAGGTGGTGTGCTTGCTTGGGAACCAACCTCTACGGACCGTTCCCACGGAAGGCCTGTCCCCCACTATGCGGCCCCGTGCCCGTCCCCCTGTCCCCGTTCACGCGGGGGCCCTTGCCTATATAAGTCGAAGCCTCGCCCGATCGCGGTTACAATCACGCTCTGTTCGTGTTCACTCGAAGGTCGAGCTGGAGACCGACGTGTTGTTCAGATACACGCACACGTTTCCTTCCGCCAACCGCCGCAGTGACTCGCAATCGTAGCGACGATTTTAGAGTTCGACGAACTGGTGATAACGCGAGGAGGTCGCGTCCGCGCGATAAGCCAGTAATACAGTTATCAAAGTGAAGTTTTGATTGTGCCGCAGCAAAAGAAAAAAAGAAGAAAAAACGGATTAAACCATGCAGATGCACGAGCAGATCATTCTAGCCGATGGGCAGGAGCAGCCGATCTCCAGGACATACCAGTATCGGAAGGTAGGTGACATCTTGACATTTCAAAGAGGCGATCTCTCTCTCTCTCTCTCTTAATCTCTCGCGTGAATTTCGAGTCGATTTGCAATTATTTCCTTTGAATTTCTACAAAAGTTTTGTCGCGTAAGACATTCTCGAGAACGTTAGGAGCCAACGCAACGTCGTTCTATAGCGATCCGTTCGTTTCGATTTCGTAGGTGATGAAACCGATGCTGGAGCGCAAACGCCGAGCGCGCATCAATCGCTGCTTGGACGAGTTGAAGGATCTGATGGTGACCGCGCTGGCCGGCGACGGCGAGAACGTGGCGAAGCTGGAGAAAGCGGACATCCTGGAGCTGACGGTGCGTCATCTGCACAAGCTGCAGCGCCAGCAGCGTCTCTCGGCGAATCCGGTGATCGACGCCGACCGTTTCCGCGCCGGCTACACGCATTGCGCGAACGAGGTCAGCCGCTGTTTGGCCGCCACCCCCGGCGTGGACGTCGCCCTCGGCACCAAGCTGATGACGCACCTCGGCCACAAGCTCAACTCCATGGACAAGACCGGCCCGTTGACGATCCACGTGACCGCGCCGCAGTCCTCGCTGTCGCCCACCAGCGAACTCAGCGCCGACGAATACCCGATGCCGTTGACGCCGGCGTCCAGCCAACCATCCCCGGTGCGAACCGACATCGATGCCGTCTCCCAGAGCCACCAGGGTCTCCTGCAGGTGGTCAAACCGAACGAGCCCATCTGGCGACCTTGGTAAAATTCTCATCCTGACACGGCGGATCCGCCGAAGTAAATCCGAGTAAACCGGCGAAAAAAAAAAGAAAGAAAAAAAGAAAGAAAGAAAAACTCTCGGATTCGAGAACTATCGCCGGTGTTGCAATCTCTGTCTGTGATCTGAACGGAATGAACGCCGCGTTCACGGGAAACATCGCGAGAAGGAAGAGCGAGGAGTCTACCCGCGCGGCAAGAAGATCACCTAGACTTAAGGAGTTCCATTTGCTCAAGGACACTCGGACCGACGTGGACGTCGGACTTCTCACGACGTTTCCGACATTCCCGCCATCGACTTTGATAACGTTCCGCAGGAGTCAGGAAAGCACCTGGGATCTCTCGACACGTAGTTTTATCCACGGCCACGCGCGGCTGAAGCTTTAATTTACTCGACGAGTTAGATGTTTTCTATTGTTTATTTCATACTTTTATCAAGAATGTTTTTTTTTCTTTTTATTTTCTTCGCCGATGTATGAGTTCGTTGTTGTATTAGTCTCTTCGAGTCCGAATCGAGAACATCGAATGTGGGACGACGACGATAACGAATGGCCTTACGAGGCGGCGATCTCGGTGATTCCGCGAAGCGGCGCGTCCGTTTCGCATCGCGTGACGCGGATATATGTAAAAATGAACGAGCGGAGAATCTTGTGATAGAGAAACGTGTACCTGTGATATTTACTGTAGTAGACGTAGAGAATATGATAGATGACTAGATTTTTAATAAACATGTTTCGTATCCAGCAATACGTATCCACGTGATTTCGTGCTGCCCACCCAATAACATAGATTAAGATTTAAATCTCTAATAATACAGAAATTACCGATCATTCCTTCATATTTATATATAATTTTATATTAAATTTAATTAACATCAAGCAAAAACTATTTAAATTGTGAATTTATATTATATTGAGAGAGACTAAGTTAAAATATGTATGAAATTTAAATTAAATCATTTGAAATGCGAGAGCTGTCAAATTTCAAAAATTCGCGTTACATATTAAAAAGGTTCTTATAAGATCAATTCGATTGTCAATTTTGAAACAAAACGTAAGTGGAATGCTTGAAATTTGTTAAGATAAAAATCAATTGAATTTTTAGAAACGCACTTACCCTAATGCAGCTTCCGGAAATCCCTGTAGAGCATTCCTATCAACCACTTCTATCTGAAAACACATGCCACAGGCATTAATCAGCGCTGAATTTAGAAGAAGATATCGATCAGATATCGATATTTCAGTATTCTGTGTTTGCGCCCCGTACGGAACATTTCTAGCAACAATTTTCATCATCAGAAAGAAATCCATGGCGAAAATCTTCAATAAGAATAAAATATCATTCTTTACATTTTTTTTTTTTAATTTCTTGACGCTCGATGTTGACTCTCGATTTCTTGATTATTATTGTAATCGAAGTTAAATTCAAAAATTTGACGTCTACGTTGCTCCTCTGATTGATACCCTTTGGATTTATATTTAATGATTAATTCCACACATTCACCTCGCTTTGACACGACAGTTTGACTGCGACAGTTTGATACGCGAATATATAAATAGGTTTCCGGTGCGAAAGAGTTAATCAGGAATGTAGTCCGTTGTTTCACAATACGCCTTATTAGCTGCATACCACAAGATTTGTATGCACGTTTACCGCTATCGATCTTCGGAATTTGTATACAAAGACGTGAAATATCGCGCCTGCAAGTCAAGTCATTATAAATCTTGCCGCAGACATGGAAGGCGATCGCGCAGTAACACGCTAATTAATTCGCAAATAATAATTCCACGTTCTCGAATAAATTATTTTACAGATATTGAAAATAGTATGCCATAAATATTTAATAAATTTATGTAATACGTGAGTAATACGTTGGGTTATTATAAAAAAAAAAATGATAAAATACGATATTCAATAATAATGGTTGGAAAACCCAAGCGGAGTATTCTACAACACAATTTTCGAAACTTCACACGAAATAACTTGCAAAATATAATTCCTGACTACACTTTCGGATTTAACTTCTTTCTCATACGCGAGCCGTATTCAAATCAGATTGTAGCCGCGATTCGGAATGCGAAATCTGATCCGCGGCATTCAAAACTTCCGTGCGATACGACGATCGATCCCAGTTGTATCAACGAAAGTTTCAAACTCGTGTGTTTCGAGGAGATAACACAATTCGCAATGGGCGATCGCGCTCTCCTGACTCATCGGATTCAACGAAGCTTTTGATATGCGTCCGCGAGCTTTGAATGATACGCGAACTTAACGAAGGCGCCGTTTTGAGCGTTTTATCGATCGTCCTTGACGTGCCTCGAGTGTGACCCCGACGCGATTCTACCGTCGATATTTCATCGATCTTGCCCCGTCACCTGGCGCAACGACCTCCCGTCGTCCATGCCATTGCGCGCGCGCGCGCGCGCCAAAAATTTGCGCGCGTATTCCGGAAGCGCCGCGGCGAGATAAAACAAACCGATCAACAAGCGCGGGATGGGAATTGCCACGGCGATTACGGACGACAAGCGAGGAAATCGGTCGCGTTGATTCCTCGCTCGGAAAATCCGCGAGCAATCGTCAATCGTTTCGCGCAACAACAGCGCGTCGCGTTGCATCGCGTCGCCGCTGATTACGTGGCGAAACGATCGGCATTCCGGCAACGGAATCGGATCGGATTATCACGAACGAAAAATTTAGGTTAGCGTCGCCGGGATCGAATGCACGCCCGGCACTTCCGATCGCCGCCATTAATTCACGAATTCGCGCGCGCGCGCGCGCGTAATGGCGCAAACTCGCGTCGAGGAACATCTCGGAATGGGACACGTTCGAACATCCGTCGACGGCCGCGGAGAAACAGATCGGTCAAAGCGTCGATCATGCGGGATTGCTTATGTTACGATCGGAACACATCTCGGCCGACTCACGTGTCGGCGTAAATAGCCTCGCATCACGACGCGAACTCGCCGGTACGCTCGAGTACGGACGCGCGCTCCGCGCGTCCCTCGGGATTCCGTGCGTGTCGGTGGTACCGCCGGCGCACGGGAAGAAATGGGAAAAACACTCGGCCACTGCGATATCATACTCACTTTCCCGATAACCGAACCGCCACTCAGCTGTAACACGTGCCGTCACCACAGGTGCACGATCACGCTTCGCCGTCATCTTGCGGCAGATTCGCGCAACCGTCACCGCTGCTCGATGCTGGCAATATCGATGTCGCGGTGAACGACGACGGGAAAAGAAAGAAATTCTTATTCGAACCTTTCTTCTCGTTCGAGTGATAACCCAAGGAAAATCCATGGCGCGTTGTAAAAATCTTAAAATTGTTTTCTATTTCCGCACCGGGCTAATAAAACGTTCGATTTCCCTTTTTGTCAAACTTGAAATACATATATATAAATAATATAATATAAAAACACACATACTTACGATACACTTACACTTATTATATAAATATACTAAGTGTATATCGGTTTAATTACAAAAAACAGATTTTTTTTATCGTGGAGATTATGAATAGTCGTAACTTTGAAGAATTCAGTAAATATACTCTACACATTGATATCCGAGTGTTATCGATACTGTTATCGCGCTATATAAACGTGTATATCGTGTTTTCCGATATATAGCGATTTTTTATCTATAAAAATATATAGATAAAATATAAAAGTGTGTGCGCGGCAATCCATTAGAATGCGATTTTATCGTGATGTCAGAAAATGGAAATAATTACTCAGTTCCATATATTAAAATGAAACTTGGGGCGTTACAGGGGGTGTGCAGGGGGTTTCATGCCACGTGAATTTGGCGACGAAATATTATCTATGTGTCTTGATAAATTATTATACATATAATTAGTTAAAATCTTTTTGTGAATACAAAAAGATATAAAAATATTATGAGTGTCATACAAGCAACTCTACTTTTCTTAATAAAAGAATTTCAAAGGATTCTGTTATATATTTTTCCTTGCACATTGAAAGTGGTTATAAAATAGACTTCTTTTCGGTCCTTTTATTAAGCCGCAAAGCGCATTGATCGCTTTCATTTGGTTTCTATGTCAACCATTCGTGCCTTAGGAAGGTAGTTTTCGCACGTTCGTTGAACTGCAGTTTTCCAAGAGGAATTCAAGATATTCGGATTGAGAGACTTTGCTTTCATTGCTAGCTATTATAATTTTTTCGATTTTTAAAATAGTACGAAAGAAGATACATCATCCGGAAATGCGTACGGCGTATCTCTTGAAACCCGGTCAAACCCTCGAAAACACCAGGGTATTTCAACATTATTCTCAAACGTCAAGTTCATAAGGACTGAGTTCATCCTGCGTAATTATTGAAAATTTAACTTTTTAATTAAAATTTAGCTTTTCGCAGGTATCTCAAAGAGATCGAGCGTTAATAGTGACGAAGGATACCTTCCAGCGTTTCGTGGATTATACCACGGAGAAGGACAGAATAGCGGCACAGCAAGAGAAAGAAGCTGCAAAACTAGCAGCGCTAAGAAAGGCGACATATGAAAAAAGTAAAACGTGGGAGAGTACAATAGAAGTATGCTTGACTTGTTTTCAATATAAAATGAAATGAAAAATATAAAGAATATCTTACTTGAAAATGTAAAAGTGCAGAGATAAAATATATTTGAAATTTCTTGGTTTAAAAAGAAAATAAAAAATAAAAATAAATTTCCAGATAAATAATTTGCGAGACTCTATCAAAATTTATTTGATCTGTTTGATAACGTTGCTAATTTGATAATAGAATATTAAGGCGAGACGGAGGGATGAATTATTGTCAAAGAGGCAAAAGGCTGAGGAAGAGAGAAAGATGTTCGTAAAGGAAATGACGGAGAAAAAGGTGGCGGAGCGTGCAGAAGTGGTGCAGCAAGCAAGGAGATTGCTACAGCAAAAGAGGCCTTTGTGCCGGCAGATTAATCGCGCTCTTCTCGTCTCCGAGGTACTTTCTCACGAAAGGAGTGTTCACGTAATTTCTAAGCGAGGCTCACCGTTAATTAAACTCAAAATAGGCTACCATGATTTTTAACAGTGTTTCAGGGAGCTGGATGCCCAAGTGGCCTTTCAAAAGACTATTAGAGCAATGGACAAGGAGCAGGAAGCTGAATATGTTAATTCGATTAAAACAGATGTTGCGAGATATGAGGAACAGAAGAAACAGGAAGCGAAAGAACGAGAGAAAAAGACGGAAGATTACAGGACTGCATTGCAGAAACAGTTAACTAAATTAATTTTGATAAGAATAGGAATGTGAAAGTATAATTTTCAATATTTCAAAGAATATTAATATTGATGTTAATTGATTGACTATAGGATTAGTATAGAAAATTAAAAAGAATGTATTTTTCCCATTGTATTGCAAAACATCATATTATCAGATTAATTATAAATTATAAAGGATTGAAGAAAACAAACGGGATAATAAGCTAAAGATGACGGAAAAATTGGAAGCTGAAAAGCAAGATCTAATAAATATAACTCGAAATATGCAACTTACGAAAGAGAAAGAAATGCAAGATGTATACACCAATATTTACAGAAAAACATTTTTTTTTAAATTCGAAGAAATTTAATATATATATTCCTCCTATTGATAGATACTGAATAAAAAGAAGAGATTCCAACAATGTTTCAAGGAAGCGATAGAAGAGAAGAAACAATTTGAGTTGAAATTAAATCACAATGAGGAATTCGAGGATCAAGCGTTGGAAGTTTGTCGAGAGGCTAAAGATCGAATACAGAAAATCCATAAATCAGTAGCGCTGAAGGAAAAGGAAGAGAAAGCGCGTCAGATGAAGATTATAGGTCTGTGATGATGCTTTCAGAAAACATAAATTTCGTATGCAGAATTCAAACGGATAAGACAAACCCAGTTATTAATGATTCTTGTTTCAGCGGAGCAATATGTTTCACCTGAGAAAACTCGCGAGGCTAAAGAGCAAGAGATCTTAAGAAAAGCTATTGAGGAGAAAGAAGCAGCCGAGGTGGAAAAACGAAAGGCACAAAAGGAACGAGAGGAAAAGATGCGCGCCCTCATGGAAGAATATAGACTTCATGACGCAGCTATAAAGACCAAGCAGAGACAAGAGGAGAAGCACCTGAAAGCTTGGGAGATGATGCAGAGATTTAAAAAAGACGAATATGACAAACAAACTAATTTGGAGGAACGCGAGCGACAATGGCAACAAAAACTGGAATATAGAAACGAATTGAGGAGAGATATTGTAAGATTAAAATTTTTTATAAAAATAGTAATAAAAATATCCGAGATAGATTCTTGAGAATAATTATTTCTTTTTAAATAAACTTCAACTTACTTTTGTTTATTATATGTGTATGTTACATTTAAGATATAATTTTTACACAGAGTATTTTCTATCTAAAATTAGTTTTAGTCTAAAAAGTTTTAATGTATTTTAATATGTATTTTAGCTCTGCTTGTATCAATATAAAACGCAATATAAAATGTTACAATTGTTAAAAACAATTGTATGTAAAAACTTTTTTAATTTGATATTAATTATCAGGAGGAGAGACGAATCGAAAAGGAACGCGAGGAAGTTCGCGAAGCTGAGGCTAAAGCTGAGGCTAAAACTGCAATCGAGAAAGCCAATCAAAGGATTTTACTTTACGGCGACGAAGTTTTAGAAGAGTCGAAGGGTGTGAGACCACTTTATCCGATCATCAAAGCTATAGAGGTATATTTAACCACCTGCGGTGCGGAAATTTGAGATTAATAGAATCTCAAATGATGAACTTAAAAGATCGTTCCTCTGATTATAGGAGATTAAAAAGGAAATAGGGTTAATGCCGAAAAAAATCGAAGAGTCAACCGTGAAGGCGGAACGGCCGGGGAGAAAACGCAGAGCGCGTCGCTACATTTGCGCGAAACCTGTTCCGGTCGATCAAAGATATTATTTGCAGTAAGCCGTTTGCATAAACAGGGCTAATTTGTAAGTCATTCGTTCGCAATTACCATGCATCCGTCCGATCATTATGTCATTTATTCGGGACTTGCTTAAATCATTTTCGTGTCGCGCTCTCGAGTCGCGCGCGTTTTGACCGACGAAAAAAATTGATAAAACCAAAGTTGTCGATGTCAAGATAAAATTTACCAGTAATTTACGAACAAAGAATTCGCCAACTCGTGAAAGTCCGAGTTCCACTCTCACGGTTGCTTATTGCAGTAGACACTCGTTATACATCAGAATATTATATCGCTCCTTTCTCGAGCGATTAAATAAGCTGTCTGGAACAGGTTTCTTGAAAATGTGTTTCGTACGTGCACGTGCACGGTTAATTAACAAAATACATAAATTAATATGAGTTTATTATCTTATAACATATCAGTAATATAACAAGCATTTTTAATATAATTGTTTGTGAAGATTTTTTTTTTATAAACAATTATAAAATATTTCTTGTATGTATATGTATAATCGTCTAATGTATCAAATCCTTGTATCAGAATAAAACAATCTTAAAATACACTATCTATTAACCTTTTATGTAAATAAATTCTTTTCTATTTAAATAAAATGCAAATAGTTCATTTTAATGCAATTTAAATAAAAATCGACTTATATGAATCGATATTTTACTATTACGTCGCATTTTTTAATAGGTTAATTTGAAAAAAAAATTGACATTACAAATTTTAATACGTATATATTTTGTCTTGAAAAATTTCAAGATTTTTTAAAAATTATCTTAAAGAATAAAAACTATTTTTTACCTTTTACTTATTTTTGTTTATTTCCTTGATGCAAAATTATTAAAAATGTCGGGAAAAGAAAAGGAGGAGCCAAAAGAAAAGAAGAAACAACCTATACCACCAATAATGAATTTCATATTGGGTGGTCTTTCCGGGTAATTTGTTATAATATTAAATTAAAATTGAAAATTGAAATATTTTAAATGTCCATTTGTGTCTTAGTATGGCAGGCACTTGCGTGGTTCACCCGATGGACGTGATTAAAAATAGGATGCAAGTGCATAAAGGGAAAGCATCAATCCTGGACGTAATCGGCACCACGTTCAAAGCAGAGGGCATTCTTTCGTTTTACAGCGGCTTAACGGCCGGTCTCTTAAGACAGGCGACGTACACGACCGTACGACTCGGGATTTATAATCAGCTGCAAGATTTTTGGAAGTAAATGACATCGATGACATCGTCCATATAAAAAATTACAAAAAAAACGATCGAGAATTTTTTCGAATATGAAAATTTTAAAGGAAAGTCTGAAGGAAATCAGGATGTTTCTTAATAAATGTCTCTTTACGATAAAGTTAAAGTTAAAATAATTTGTCTCATTATCCGATTCCAGTTTCAAAAGAAAATTATCGTATTTAATGTGTATTTAGACAGAAATACGTCGGTCGTCCCACTTTCCCGGCTTTGGCAGCCATGGCTGGAACTGCTGGTGCTATGGGAGCTTTCTGTGGAACACCAGCCGACGTCGCTCTTGTGAGAATGACAATAGATGGCAGATTACCAGTAGGTAATGATAAATTTTTATATGAGACAATTGGTATATTAATTTTTATTAATATTAAAAAAATGTTACCTAGAATAATTCGGCTAATGCTTTTAATACTCAGAGCAGAGAAGAAATTACAAGAACGTAGTCGACGCTTTTGGCAGAATTGCCAAAGAAGAAGGAATATTCGCTCTTTGGAGAGGAAGCGTGGCCACGATGGGAAGGGCTATCGTCGTTAACATTTCACAACTGGCCACTTATAGCCAAGTGAAGCATATGCTAGCAACAGAACGTAAGTTTAAACAACAGTTTTCACAAATTTTTTTGATTTTAATAATTTGATTCTTTTTAATATAAATCAAATATGCAGATCTATTTTTATAAAATTAATATACGTATTTGATTTATATTTCTATATATATATATATATTTGTTTAATCTTTTTATTATTTGTCGATTATTCATATAGTGGGCCTTAAAGAAGGTTTAGGTCTACATTTCGGTGCATCCATGATATCAGGATTTGTCACTGCGTTCAATTCCATGCCTTTCGATATCGCCAAGACCAGGTTATCAATAAACTTCAAATCTTATTCACTGATAATAAAAAAAAAATTTAATAATCACTCTTACTTATCCGCAGAATACAAAATATGAAGGTCATTGGCAAACCTCCAGGCATGATTTCAGTTATAATGTCAATTGCGACAAGTGAAGGGATAACAGCTCTTTGGAAAGGTTTCTGGCCGACTTATTGCAGAATAGGTCCGCACACGGTAATAACTCTCGTTGTTAACGAGCAATTAATGCGTTTATACAGAACACGTTTTTAATTCGATAACAAAATTCGATAAAAAAAATATCCAAAGGTATGCATTTTTGCACATATATCCATCATAAATGTACAAAATTTCAGACAAATCTTTATATTTATTAAAATAATGTGTAACAAATTTTGCTGATTTAATTAAATAATTATATTATTCTATGTTAATTTTAGATTTTATTCAAATTATATCGCGTAATTAAAAAAAATAATTTATACTGACACAAGTAAGTTTCGTTATTACGTCACCGGGAAAAATTTCAAATACATTCGATGAAATTGATCAACGCACACCATGGTAATTACAGCATTGGGCGCTGCTCTGGAATAATACGGAAGAAAACCACGCCATAACGATATTATACTTTCAGTTTTAGCAATATTAACAATCATAGCCATGATATTAGGGGGTTTTGTAGGTTGTCTCCAGTTTTGAATTCTATAAAAATGTATATTTAAGGATTAATTATTTAGATTATTTTATTTAAGATTATTTTACTTCGGTATCTTGCCATTTTACCTAGTTTTAGCTACGTCCATCGGAATCGAAACAAAACATGTAATTACGCTTGACATCATGGCAGCGACAAATTGTAATGGTATGCCGTTTTCGAAATACCCTATTATATTAAAAATATTTATTAATATTGTTTATTAAAATTATTCATTGTAACCGTAATTAAATTATATAAGATTACTTTTTTTATTTTAGATTACATCCTTTTTTGCACAAAATTGCATTGCAAAACGAAAATAATCAAATCATAATTAAATCATAATTAAAATCGTAAAATCAAAATCATAATTAAAATTATATAAAACCGATTGATTCTACCTTTCCATTATACCTCTATTATTTCTTGTACTTGTATTTTCATATATTCTTTCTTTTATATTTATTTTATACTTTTCTCTAAACTGTATTATGGAAGCAGATAGCAAATTTTAATAACCTGTATCTCGCAGCATCATCTTCGTCCTTGTATATGTAGCTAACAACGTTCCATTTACAATCGCCGCTCTGCCCATTGTGGGCACTGCTCCTCTCCATAATCCAGGAAATCCCTCGTCTTTCCATACACTAAAGATGCCGCTAATAACGTTTTTATAATTCCATCGCTTTTCTAAACGTTAATTTCCACGTGTGTTCAAGTATGCAACATTCTCTATTTTTCTCTATCATCCTGAAGGAGTAAATATAAATAAAAAAAAAATAAATAAACAAATAAAAATACCTGGTGGTAAATTCACGTCAGCCACCATACGAATGAACAGTAAGTCAGTGGGGGTGCCGACGAAAGAGCCCATCACACCAGCTATCATCCCGAGACTAATCATCGTGACATAATTTAAATAACCGAAATGTTGTCTGAAGAAAACGGAATATCGTAAATCAGAACTACTTTTAGAACATGAAATAGCAATTTCTACAACTTTCAAGACTCGATTTCGCGGATTTTTAAATGTCGCGTGCAACTGACTGACATTACTCCCCGATATCCAGTAAAATGGTGTAGATTCCAAGCCTGCTGGTGGTGTAGGTCAATTGACGGAGAAGAGCCGCACTTAATCCCGCGTAAAAACCGCAGGCTCCGCTCGTGTTAAGAATACGAAGTGCCGTGTCACGTAAACTCTCGCGTGACATTTGCATGTGTATCTTAAGAACATCCATAGGATGCGTCACGATCTGAGCTACCACACTGCGATTAGCGAAATAATAAAATTGCCATCAATTTCAAAATTGCTAAAATCTCCACGTATTTATGTCTCGAATAAAAAAGTATAATATTCTCTTTATAACGGGCAATGAATTTTTTACCCCGACATGCCTCCTGTTACAAAGTTGACAAATTTTGGCACCTTGGCGTCTTGAGTAGACATCGATATATCTTGTTCCTTTTCTTTCTCATGCTAATCTCAGTGCAATTTGTTGTTTTTATAATAGCTTTTAACAAGAATAGAAAGGTGTTAACCTACTATTTCACTGTCACATTTCTCTTGAATGTAGTAACGTTATATCATTTTAGAATAAACTCTATCATCAATCTGGCGATTAAATATTTAATAAATATTCTTTTAATTGAACATATTTGTAATATGATTTTCGCGATCAAGGAGTGAGCATAATTTTATATAATTTTATAATATTACGATTGAGCAGCGATCCGCCCGTTGTTCTCCATATACAAAGAACAAATTGGAGGCGACTTTGAAAAAATAAAAGGATCCACGACAATACTACATCCCAGCAAATGTAAATATACAAGGAGTTTCAAACGTGATCGTCAATCATCTTTACTTTTGAAACACTCTCTATACGGCAACATTTCACATCATAATCAACAGTCCGGAGACCTCGAGAAATCCACTTGGCGATTCACATCGCGAATATTCCTTTCCGCTGTCGAAAAATGTCATCGAATTTGAATTCCGCACAGTTGAATTGTGGACGATGTGGAACGAGCTGTTCGTTCGTGCCTTTTTAACCGATCGGTATGGCAGATTCACGTTTCCGACGACGTTTCGGCCAACTGTACCGATACGTCAGCTGGTGGATGCCAGTGTGGAACTTTTCTCTGTACATGCGTTATGTACGGCGAGTCAACTGGCCCGTGATCCTGCAAGTGCATTCTATTGTCAACGCGACGTGCGAGGGTGACGGGAGCGGACGGGAGTTCCGCGGTTGCGAGTCGACGCCGAAGTGACGGGCTGACTGAGCTGTTTTCGATGCATCGAGCGAAGCTCGGAGGTTATTATCTCGTCACGGCTGCGTCTCACGCATCGGCGAGATAACGTCCTCCCGTTCTATCGTAAAACGAAAAAACTATGAAACATCGAACTATGAAACATCGATTAACGAACGACAAATGATAGAATGATAGATCGTGGTCGATAGCGCATGATTGTACGCGTGTCATCTCGCCTGTGCTAAAGTCGACGTCAAACTGAATTGTATCAATGTACCTTCGATCGCGCTGTTTTTAAAAGGAAAGCGGACTTTCGTGTTTATTCATTACCGGCGGTGCCGGAAGGATATTTTTTTAAATCAGCGGAAAGAGTTTTCTCGATAGCGATAAATAAATAAATATATGTGTACGAATAGAAAATAGAATGACTTAATTATTTATTATATGTTTAAGAGCAGATTCTTTTAATGGATATTGATAATTGTTGTCTTTTACTTTTAGAAGATTAATTGGGGCAATGGGTACAACACCGAGTCGCTATGAAGATCTCTCCAAGAATATGCATCTGGAAAGGTTCTGTGGGAAACAAAGTATACCCACGGATGATCCGTTCTGGAGTACATTTCTATCATATAACGTACGACCACCCATTACTAGGAATGATCAGATAGAATTAGATTCTCGGTTAGACGCTTCGTGCCAACAGTTGCTCGTTAATAATTTAGCTACTGGCAACTTTGGTACTCTGATACAGATAGCTCTGATACGTATTAACGAGCTATTAGGACCTATACAGAATCAAAAGTAAGTACGCAAAAGTAAGTCGCTTTGAATTATAATAATTATAATGTTGAATAAATCAAAGTTTTGGTTTTGGCTTAAAAAAGAATGGTATGTGACATTCCAAATTATCTATTTATACAGTATAATATCAGCATGGCAAACATACAACGCATTGTTTGCCGTAAGATGTATTTTAAAGTACCTCATCGAAACTGTTGGTGAAGAACAAATGCTGAACCACATTGAAGCACCACAAACAGCAAGCGAAGCACTCTCTACTTTTAGATTGGCATATTTTATTGAAGCACTGATAGAACTTATTACAGATCTACCTTTATGGTAAGCAAAATTCAGTATACTTCAATAAATATGCATATATTTCCAAGAACTTTTACTAATACATATTGTATAAGCGTTGTATTTATATATAAATGTATTTGTACTATTAATTAATATTAAAATACTAAATGTATTTATGTCTTTTTTACAGCGAATTTACATATGTCGTTCACTTGGAAGCAATAAATTGTTTGCTCGTGCTGCTCTCAGTGCAATTATTTTCTCAAACTGCAGCCGAATACAGTACAGTATACAGGATAGCGATGCACCCACATCTAAGCCAGCATGCGCCTGCTGTAGTGTGTACATTGTTACATAATTTTATTCAACAGGAACACGCTCCTCCGGGATTACTAACGCAGCAATCCGGGGGTAGTATTGTATTCAGTATTGCTGGTAAATATGATAATATCACAAAATGCGGGCGGTCCGTTTTACAAGCGTTAATATAAAGCATTGTTTCAGCCGGATTGTGGAACGTAATAAAAATGGGCATAGGTAGTGGTTCAAAGAATGTGCAGATTTCGCACAATGGCACCGCCGAGGATGAAGAGAAAAAACGCGATACGGAAACTCCGCTCGCTAGTCAATCTCTATTACTTTTACTGGTTCTGACGAATCATTGCACTGCTACGCAGAATCCATATAGAAATGCGCTTTTTTCATTTATAGATATGCAAGGTAAGCATTGATTTTATTTACGAACATCATACGGATCATTAACATCGCGTATATCGAATGAAAATGTATTTTTGTTGCAGAAGATTACGGTGCGTCACAAGCGAAAGCCGATATCTTCAAGTTTAATTTAAATAAATTATATAGCACCATTTGTAAAATACCAAATACAGATGAAGTCACGCTTCTACTCTACATGTTGTTGCATAGAAATTCGAGTGTGAAACAAGATATAATGAGAAGGCCTGACATACAATTACTGGCAAGTGATCAAAACTCTTATTTTTTTCTCTTTATTACACATAATATTTAATAACTTTACAATGAAATGTTTTTTACTTATATATTTATAGGTAACTCCGATATTACAAATATTATATTATGCGCCAAACAACACATCCCATCATATTTATATGTCTCTTATTATCTTGCTGATTTTAAGTGAAGATGAAACATTTAACAAGCGAATACACGAAATAGTAAGTATTGATATTTTATATAATTTTAATAATTAAGATAATGATTATTAATTATTGTCATTTTTCCAAGATGCTTAAAGGTGTAACATGGTACACCGAGAGATCCATAAGCGAAATATCGTTAGGCGGTCTTTTAATCCTTGTTGTGATTCGCACGATACAATATAATATGTTTAAAATGAGAGTAAGTATGATATTTTTTACATTGTATAATGATATAAATCCGCATCTATAAATTGTAATAATTTTTTATTATTGTTAGGATAAATATCTTCACACAAATTGTCTAGCAGCTTTGGCGAATATGTCTGCCCAATTCACATCTTTACATCCTTATGTTAGTCAGAGACTGTTAAGTCTATTTGAAACTCTTGCAAAAAAACATGCACGGTTAGAAGCAAAAATTCAAGCGCAAACAATTGTTACTCCTGATAAAAATAATGTTAATAATACTAAGATTAATACGACTGTTAATGTAAAAGTTAGTAAAACTGGAAAAGTTTCTAATGTTTCAACGACTTCCACTGAAACAGATGAAAATATGGTAAGTAATTAAAATAGATTATTTTTAAAAATAAAAATAAATTATTTTTTATTTAATATTTGTCAAATAAAATATATTATTTTTTTAGATTCAAGATTTAACTATACTTGAGGAGGTTTTACGAATGGTGTTAGAAATTATAAATAGTTGTTTAACTCATAGATTAACACATAATCCAAATTTAATTTATACTCTTCTATATAAAAAGGATGTCTTTCAGCCATTTAGAACACATTCTGCTTTCCAAGATATTATACAAAATATTGATTCTGTAAGTTTCACACTTTTAAATAAGGCCATAACGTTTTCGTATTTGAATATGCATTACATTTTATTGATATGTAATAATTGAAAATTTCCAAAATATTATTCTTAGGTGATTAACTTTTTCTCTTATAAACTGGAACAAAAAGATCAATCACAATTAGGTGTTAGTCAAGTATTAGCCACTATACAACAAGGAACTTCAGAATGGCCAAAAGATCGCTTAAGGGTATGTAGAAATTGTTATCTTTACAATTTACTTGTTACAAAAATTTTGATATTGTTACATACGCGCTATTGTTTATAGAAATTTCCAGAATTGAAGTTTAAATATGTGGAAGAAGAACAACCAGAGGAATTCTTTATTCCGTATGTATGGAGCATTGTATGTCAAGGAGCATTGTTACATTGGAACGCGGAAAATATAAAATTGTTTTCCCCTAACAATGGCGAACCAACAATCATTGTTTGCTGATATTGAGATGAGAGATGCATCATGCTATAAACATTTAAAGCGATAATATAGGATAATATATAAAACTATAAGTTTGTAATAGAAATTGTCAAAACCAAAAGTATAAATATTTTTTTTTCAATAACTGAAAATAAAAATTTTAAAAATTGAAAGAAAAATAAGAGTATGCAACAAAGAGAGCATAATATATCGACGAAAAGTATTACACAATGAAGTACATCTTGTATAATCATTTTAATATTTACTATAAAAATAAAATATGTAAATGTAAAAATTTAAGTTAAATTCTTTCATTTTGTTACATTTTGAGTGAAATAAGAGAAGGGATGTAAAAAATTTATAATGAATATTTTATATTCTTAAAAATCAGATTTTGTAACTTTTCTGTAGTTCTGTGTTATGATTATATATAAACGATATATAATATATAATGATATATACTATGTCAAGATGAGTGTACAGTTATTGCATCTCGATGGAATTAGTTAAAGCTATTATATTTTGTATTACAAACATGTTATTATAGGGGATAATGTAATTTTATATTAGAAATATCTATTAATATGCATGAAAAGTTACAATCTTCACAAAGTAATTTCTTCTATAAAATAATTTACTTCACAGACATCGACGTTATTTCAAAATTGATTTTCTTGTAATCTTAGAATATATTATATATCTATACCGTTCCACAATATTTTTTTTAAATGTGAAAATGTAAAATTTTCGAGACTTCAGTGAATTATACAGCCTAATCAGTAAATAGTATATAATTTTGATTTTAATGACGTTTACAATATGTAAATAAATTATTAAGAAAATTAAATATACCTTTGTCTAATTTAAAACGTAATCTATTTATATAGTTGTTATTTGCGCTATATATATGTGCAAATAATTTTTATTTAATATATACATTAATAAATATTTATCTAATATTTATAACGCTTTGTTTTGTTTCTTCATTTAGCATTATAAGATTCGCGGAAATGGGACATGGATTCTAGGGCAAACATGAAGTGGGGAGATATAGAAGAGAATAGAAATAATCCATTTTTAACCGGCAGGCCATTTAAAGATCGCGTATTAAATGCAAGAATAATCTATTTAAAAAATATTCATCAGAGAAATACAGTTAACTTTCATTGGAATTCTTGTCAGATCGATCTCGAGACTTGTTGTCAATTAACGTGGACGTGCCGGCTACGCAATGGTCAGTTCACACGTGTCGAATGTACATCTTTATTAAACAAATACAGTTGACGTCTTAATGTTATTTATAATGTCGTTTATAGATAATATTTCATTTTTCCTAGCCTGTGCAGCGTGTATATGCGGCCGCGCGTGATCTTGTGTACGTGTACGTGTGTGTATAGTTAATATACTATTGCTAATATACTTCTCATTTTTTTGTCTTGAACGATCTTTCAGTTTGCAGAGTTAACAAGATAATTTGACGTTTCTGTGCGTCGCGGTGCAGACGCGCCGAGTAACTCAGTGTGTCACGTTAAAATTAAAGACTCGTTTAAAAGTCATAAACATTGCCTTAGCCATACGGCACGTTACGGCTCAAAACGTGTGTGCTTAGCGTACAGATATAGTATTTTTTTTTTTCCCTTTAATTATTTATTTATCCATAATAATTAAATTCCTTAACTGTATATACTATACCGTTACTTAATCTTATTAGTTAACACACAATCAATCTGCGATGGGAGGGAATTTAGTCGGCACGCAATGATATTCCGCATTACGGCCTAGCTAATCAGTAGTTGATTATTTCACTCATTACACCGTCGTCGTGCGATTTATTTTTTTATTGTTAACATCCGATCGTTATCGTTACTATATGCGCTACTTCTTCACGTTCTTTTCTTTTCATCTCTTTTTTTTTTTTCCCCCCTTAGAGAATGTTGCATATAACGAGAAATAATAACGAGATCTGGAGTGATCGATCGATATTTCATAGGAAATATGTAACTCATTACATACGCTGAACATACCTTTTTACTGCCTGGATGTACTTTTCAGCACTTCAAATATCTCCGGGAGGAATAACGAAAAGATGAATCGCTCGCAGAAATTTACACGGCAATCATATCATGAATGAACTTCGTGCTTTCAATTTTGGATTTCGTTTTCCTTGAAATTCCTATCGGCACCATCAATTATAATCGGAGCACCCTTGCAATCGCGCAACGAAGGATTCGATTAAATTTTATTCGCGCCTCTATCGCAGGGAGAATTCTGCCGCATTGCCGAAGTCCTGCGGTCTGAATGACGTGAGACTAATATTCCTTTTATTCCTTTTAGATTTCTCATTTAACATTTTGAAACGAGAAGCTGAAAGTGGAGAATTAGACGAATGGCACGAGCGTTCGCTCCGCGAAGCGTTATAATTTCTCGATTTACACGCGCGCGTGATCGCGTGTTTATACATGCACGGTTTTCACTGTCGTCGTATCGGGATACGTGTATATGTATGCGTGCCTGCGTGTGTGTGTGTGTGTGTGTGTGTGTGTGTGTGTGTGTGTGTGTAGTAAGTA